GGAAGTGTGTGCTTGGAAAACATTTGGCCATTTTGGCCAAGTGGGAGATGTAAGTGGTTTTTGCCTCATGGGCCAAATCTGTAACCCGACCCGTTAAGAATCTGACCCGGTTGTTGGGAATATCTCACATTCTGGGATTTCTTCCGTTGGAGATCAAGTCTTATGGAGAGAATGGTTTAGAGAGATAGTGACCAGATTTTTTGGGGTCGCAGGTGGAGAGGGAACACCCATAAACAAAGAAGAGTTCTTCTCCTCTGGAACATAGAACAATCTCCATCGGAGTCCCAAAAGAAATACTCTCTTGTTCCTTCATATTTCTCTGATCTTCGACCTTCATCATTGTGTTGTTCTATGATTTTTTTCCCCAAGTGATGCTAGCTCTTCATCGTGGATCGGTGAGTCTGAGAGTCTCAATTTATCTTCCCCCTTGCGTGTCAAGCACATGCAGTATGAAACAAGAAGATCTGCCGGTAATCCATTGAAATACACTAAGAAGCAGTTTGATCGTTGGATTTCATAGATTGTTCGTTGTTAGTAGGTTTTTGTACTGCCTACTTTTGTTTATTGGGCATTATCTTATATTTTATTTGGTCTTTATGGTTCTTGACAAGTTTTAGGCATCTGTAATAAATCATTACACTGCTGGTATCTGTAATCTCTCCTCTTGGGGATACGTTCCTGACCTTTCTCAACGGGTTAATAGAGAGATTAAGGAGGCTTAACCCCTCATTAACCCTCCAAACAGCAAAACACCTGAGATCCTGTTTGGCAAAAGGGTTAAGGGAAAAAATTAAGGAGAAAGATTAAAGAGAAAGATTAACATAATTAGCCCATTCAATAATCCAAAAGACTAGATTATAAACTCATTATATAAGTTTTATTTTAGTCCTGATGATCATCTTTAATGTTTGGGAATAACAATGATTTAACCATTTTCTTTATAATTAGAGGGGTTAACTTTTAATCCTTCTAAATAGAAGTATTAGTATATCTCTCGTTTTGAGGGGGTTAACTCATTTTAATCTTTCTAGATTGGTTAGCTTAACCCTTCTGTATTTTTTACGTTTGGCAAATTATATAAGGTTAACTCACTTTTAACCCTTCTATATATTTTTTGTATTTGGCGGGTTAAAATGGGTTAAGTCTCCTTAACTCCTCACTTAACACTTTACCAAACATGATCTAAATAGTTAATAAACCCTCACGTGATACTTAACTGATGTTTAACCAACACTTAAGCCGTAACTGGATGAGTTAGCAAAACCTCATAAGGAGGCGGGCTAAATTTAGTATGCCTCCTCATGCGGATGTAAGAGCTAGTAAAAATGGAAAATTGAAAACGCTTGTTCTTTGTGCTTTGTTAACTAACTCAACTTACGAGGTTGTTTGGTTCATTTCCTAGAAACCCAAGTTTGGGAGATTGCTCATGAGAAATAGGTTGTGGGATCAATTTTCATGTTTTCAAACCCATTTCATGACTTTTTGGGAGGAAATTAGTTCCCTTAAATTTGGGACACATGATAATATTAGCTTACTAATGGGTGGGTCCCACAAACACAACATCTCTTGTTTTCTCTCTCAACCAAACACAAGAAAATGAAATCAAACACCTTCATATAGGTATGTCGGGTGTTTTGATTTTCTTTTCTTAGTTTTTGAGCCAACCAAACAGATAGCGTACCACATTTTGATTGGTGGTTAGCTACCATTGGGTCTTGCTAGGAACTGTTCTTTGATAGAATGCTAGTGGGATGAAATACATTTACATATTTAGGTGTATTAAAATGGAAGTTATTGATGAAACTTCAAATTTTTTGTTAATTTACCTTAGAAACAAGTTCTTTGCTAATTGTTCGGCGTAAAAATTGACTCTCAAAAAAGGGAATGTTTGTATTAATAAGAGTGACTTATTACAAACTAATGATCAACAATTACAACCAAAGAGAAGAAAATGCTCTTCTTGTTTAACATGGGTTCTTCGGTAGCGATAGGATGCCTCCCTCGAATGCTTGCATCGAGTTTGCTTCCCTTGGACGATCCGGACGAGGTTGTAGGCAAGCTTTAGTACGCAGTAGAAGCTTGATTGGATGAGTTTGATCAACCGAGACCAAATAAGTGCTTGTATATATAGGCCGAAGATGCCATGAATTCGGTCTTCTTGAATGACATGAAGTCCGATCTCCAAAGAACAAGACTCCACCAACGGCGTGTCAGGAACAAGACGGATCTCAAGTCTAACATGGTCTTGAGGTCTCTCAAATTCGCCCCCAAAGAGGTCAAGTCCTAAGACCCTTTCTCTATAGCTGCTCATGGCCTTTTATAGAGAGGAAGGAGGGTGTAACCACTCTCTTAAATCATGGGAAGTGATCATTCTCATACTGTGTATGGTCATGAGGAGAATCATGACCAATCCCTTAAATTGTAGGAAGTGACTATTCTCATATTGGGTATGTCCATGAGGAGAATCATAGCCATTCTCTTAAATCGTGGGAAGTGACCTCTCACATGCCTCAAGTGGGTGGGCTTGGCAAGCTTGCAGTCGAGCTTGCCTTGTGCAGGCGTTTCAAGCATGCAGGCAAGCTTGGGTCATGCAGGCAAGCTTTCAGCTGTCACGCGAGCTTGGCTTATGCAGGCGAGCTTGGCTTATGCAGGCGAGCTTAGCCTTTAGGCGAATCTGGATCATGCATGAGAGCTTCAAGCTGTCATACAAGCTTGGCACATGCAGACGAGCTTCAACCTGTTAGGCGAGCTTGGCTTATGTAGGCGAGCTTCCAGCTGTCGGGCGAGCTTGGCCTTCAAGCGAGCTTAGTAGACGAGGTTGTGCAAGTGAGCTAGCCTCATTCAGGCGAGCTTAAAGTTTCAAGTCTTTAGGCGAAATTTCTCTTCAGGCGAGCTAAACTCATTTGCAGGCGAGCTTGCTCTTCAGGCGAGCTCCAAAACATGCTACGAAGAACATGTCATAACTTTCAAATCGTAAGTCGGAATTGGACGAATTATGTATGAAAATCGACTATCTAGACGAGACGGGACCGACCAAAACTACCGAAGTTTGGTTTTTCGCCATCTGTTTTGCCAAATTCCCTCCGGTTTGAGAGATATTAGCGTTTTTTCTGTTTTGTGAAGTCAAGCATTCAGACGAACTTGACTTTCAGATGAGTCTAACTTCTCTCAGGTGGGCCTGACTTCACTCAGATGGACCATTGAGCTCTTTTGCTTGTTCCAAGTTGCTGTGCAAGAATAAATACAATTTTTATTGCCTACACTAATGATATGTAATTTTAGTTAATTCTTATTTCCCTTCCCAACTATTATTTATTAAAAATAATGAAAAATGATAATATTTTTATAATTAAACATGATTGCAAATTCAAGTTGAAATTATTTTAATGAAACATTTATTAATTAGATTTCCTATTTTACTAAGGTTAATCTTGGTATTTTTTTTAAAAATAGGTGAATTAACCCTTTTTTTTGCCAAACACAAAAATGTTAACCCTTCATTTTAACTATCTAATCCAAACAAAATTTAATTATCTTAAACTCTCCATAATGGGTTTTAACTAATTTTACACTAACCCTTCTCTCTTTATCCCTTGCCAAACGACACCTAAGATGTCTCATCAAGAGGTATCAACAACATTCCCAAATCATCATAGTTTCTTTTCGTTGAGGATGCTTTGTAGTAGCGTTTTTGGTGCTCTAAAATTTTGGTGTGTTTGCCAACTGTCCACTAATCTGGTTAACATCTTAACCAGGTTAGCTGTGATGCAGGTAGGGGTGGATCAATTCTAGCCTAGCTAAGGACTTAGATGGTGTGTTTGACAAATCCTTAAAATTGGATCCGAGCGAGGACTGAACGTGACCCAGTTTTGAAATGGTTAAATTTGAACTAAGAGAAGAGAACCTGGTTTGCAGTTGGCTTAATTTTTTTACCTAAACAAAATTGAATTAGTTACAAGCCAGTACCTCAAGGTCTCGTGTACTTACATCCGTGACCCGAGATTCTGTGTATCTACATTGGTGACCTTGACATTATAATTGTTATTATACGTGTGATCCTCGAGATCAAACAACAACCCACTCATAGGGTTACTCGTGTATATACAATCAGTAACCTCGAAGTTACCCTTGTAGATATGTAGATCTAGGATCACTGGTATAATTACGCGACACGTGAAGATATTGGCTTGTAAATTAACTATTTAGCCAGGTTATCTCTACTAACATGGAGCCAAACACCCTGTTGGTCTTATGTCACTTGACCATGAAGTGAAGTTACATATGACTAGTAAAAAGCGGGGCAAAAGACTAGAGTGATGAATCGTCTCCTTTTATGATGTATAAATTTTAGGGGTGATATCAATGATTCAAAATTTCTCCTAGGTTCTAAAATTGTTGGTTTAGTAGATATGCACTGAAAATAATGATCTATTTCTCCATCTTGCAATCAAACGTTCTCTAGTTGCCGCAACTTCCGACCAGTGAGATTGACAAATCCATCATAACTTTCATTTGAAAAATTTGATTCTGGTGTTGCTATTTTGCTTTTACATTTGCGTAAAAATTCTTTTTATGATATCCCTGTTCCTTTTCAATCGAAACATAACAGCATCTCGATAAAATATTAATTATGGCGAGCAAAAAATGAATATATTCTTACTTAAAACACCAATAATTATTTAAAAACAGGTGAACCAATAATAATAATAATAATAATAATAATAATAATAATCTATGAAAAATGTAATAACTTCGCCCATAGAGCGTCAAGAGAATCAATCTCAGATTCACTTCTAAAAGGATTGAGAAGGCCTCTTATAAAGGGAATTTAGTTGCAGTAATAACTGTAGGCCAACTAAGGCCTGTCATAATAAACACCATCTCGGGCTTTCTTATCGGGTTAAATTGGATCCCATGCCCAAATACCCAACCCGCTTTCTTGCTTGCAACTCATATATATTGTCTCCAAAACCCTAAACAATCTCCAAAGCAAGCACCGCGGAGGCGACTGTTTTTTTTTAGTTTCTTTTTTTTTTCCTTTCTCCTTTCTTCTTACCTCTCTATCTTAGATAGTGGGGGAAAAAATATATGTATTTTCATGATGCGATGAAGAGAGAAATGATCTCTATCTAGATTGATGGGTTCGTGTTCGAATCCAATCCGTCGACATGAAGTCCTTCATCTGGTTCGTATTCACTGAGCATCCGTTGATTTCTCTTCTTCTTTTATTCTTTTTTTTTCCCCACTAAAAAACGAAGGACCTATGGATCTATCGCTTTGAAATAAAGTGCGATCTCATCCAAGTTTGCCTTCGGACATCAAAGCAATTAAGTGATTTCAGATCGCTGGGCTCTGCTCTTTCAAGCGCTCGGTTTTTTTTTTTTGTTCTTGGATCTGGATTTCGCACACATCAAATTCATTTTATTTCATTTTATTTTGGGATTTAAAATTTTCGAGAAATAACAGCGAAGGACCCAGCAGAGGGGGATTGGATCTCCAAAAGTTGAGACCCCTCTAACATTTCTATAAACCCTTCGCAGATTAAAAAAGGCCGGATCGTACGACGCTTGAACTTCGTGTCTTTCACGCGTCTCATAACATGGCTACAGTTTTACTCCCTAATTATTTTTAACGAAATTAACATAATCTGATCTTTTTTTATTATTCTCTCTTTAGACTAATTCGTACTGTATGCACATTTCAGAGCTCATAGCTTCGATTATGATCTAGACGGAAGGAATTGTACGGGTTACTTTACTAAAAACTGCTTAAAATGATGGAAGAGCTGCATTTCTACGAGTACTCTTATGAAATGGACCTTTAATTTTTGGTGAAAGGAGAATGATGGGTCATTCGATTAATTGGGATTTTCTAACGTTTGAACCTCCGTTGATGGCCTCTCTGATCGCCGCCATAAACTTGCCCGGCGATTGGCATTTAAAGTTCATATTGTATCAACAAATGTAGTTGTATATCCCTTGTATCCATTTATTAGCTTTGGCTTCTTGTGTAATTTGATTGCGAAAAATTCTCTAAGGATCCAAAATATGAGACCAATAGGGGAGATACGTGAGGTGTCTTCCTCCTATTGTATAATGAGTTGATCATCATTGAGGGTCAGTTTATCATTATGTAAATAGGAGGGGAACACCTCACCTGTTTTCCTTGTTGGTCTAATAATGATAGTTCCTTGTTGGTCTAATAATGATAGTCAGCTCATTATGTAATAAGAGGGGGATACCTCATATGTTTTCTATGTTAGTTCCATATTTTGGGTCCATGTAGCAAAGCCCATAGAGTAGATCGTTACAGAGCCCTAGAGTTGGTTATACTCATTAAGAGAGTTCAATTTTAAAGGTAAAAGTTAGGTTAATGTGTATATTTAAACAAGCTGTTCTCTTTCCTGTTATCCTTTTTATGCCATTAGACCATCTCCAACCACCCTCTATATCTTCAAAATCTTCAAATTTGGACGGTGGAACCTCTCTAACCACTCTCCAAATTTGGAGATCTCCAAATTTGACCCTCCAAATTTGGAGAAATTTTGGAGGGTCTCTCCATAACCCTATTCATGATTTTTTATTTACAATTTTGCCATGTTTTAACTATTTGATTTCTTAAAATTTATCACTTTGCCATCCTTTTTAGTAATTTAAATTAGATGTTTAATTTTAAATAAATATAGTTAAAAAATTATTAATCTAATATTTGAAATCATTATATATTTGGAAAGGGCTCGTTGAGATCTTTAAATTGAAACTAAGATTAATTTATTTTAGTATTATTATAAAATTATTAATTTTTAAATTATTATTTTAGTATTAATATTGGGTTCATTTTAAAGCTCTCATCGATACCTTTATAATGTTATAATTTTTTTTCCCAAATAAATTATTAACAATGAAATTATTAACATAAACTATATCCAAGATTCTTTAATTTATATGGCTTTTTTGACAAAAAAATAAAAAGAAAAATATTTGGAGAGTGTGGGTTGGAGCAACCCTCCAAATTTCACCCTCCAAATTGAAATATTCCTAGAATATTCCAATTTGGAGGGCCAAATTTGGAGGGTATGGTTGGAGATGCCCTTAGAGATTGCGTACAAAAAAGCTGTGTACCTCCTTTATTTGAGATTTTTCAAATATAACCAGATCGATTTAATAGAATATATTATAAATATAATTTTAGCATGTATGAAAGTTCGATGGGAAAATTTTTAATCTAAGTTTTTTGGGTGTGTTTGGAAACGAGATTTGAATTCAAGGTGTAGATTGGAATCGATGGGTTTTGAATCTAAGATTTGATATTCATGGATTTTGCAAATTTATTGTTTGGATACCTTCATTAAGTGTGAGGATTTCAAATATTGGATTTCAAATCTATTATTTGAAATCTAGTATTTGACTTTAATGCCCACTATTATCATT